ATCACGACCCTGCCGCACGCTGTTCGCGCATTTTCTTTTTTGGGGGGCTTTCGTCGCTTTTAAAAATAAATCTGATGCCCCGCACGCCGGCCACCATCGCAGTGCCGCCCGCCCCACAATCCACGCTGCCCGATAAATTTATTGGCGGCAGAGCCCCGGAATCAGAGTCGCCGCTGCCGCTTCCTCGGAGTCTCACCCTCGTCTCCTTCCGCACCCTCCGCGGATGTCGGGTCGTCCGCTAGAGGCGGATCAACGACCGGTATTGGGTGGCCGCTGATGTTCGGGAAGGCGGTGCACACATCGGCGTATTGGGGGCACACAACGCTCCCACGCCACGGACCCGATGGCGGCGTAACGGTTTCACCCTCCTGGCACTCGTGCCACGCATCGTCACGAAGGAACCGCACGCTCACTGTGCCGTCGCCGCATCGAGTGTCCACACACACGTCGCCAATGTATTTGTCGTCGAATTGAAGGTCCTGCCCCTTCACGCACCGCGAGTTCGGGCCAACGACACTGCCAGGCATTGCTGAAGGATCGCCGTTGGTGCAACCACCATTAGAATACTCCTTGACATACGGGCATCTGCTCATGAAGAGGTCATCACCGCCAACTCGGGGATCAGCGAAGTACTGATACTCCTGTGGCAGGGCTTCCTCGTGCCTCTTCAGCCTACAGAACCCCAGAGACAGACGGTCGTACGTGCAGAAGAACTTTTCATCTTCGTCAAACTGGTTGCAGAACAGGTCAGGGTATTCGATGATGCCGTCGGTCAAGCACTTCTTTTCCAGCAGCCCACAGCCAGAGTTGTTGCCCCACCACAACATCTCCGCCGCGCTGTAGTTTGCCACATAAACACCCATGTCCTCAAATGCTGCAAGCGTCAGTGCCGAGTACAGCCCAACCCCCACATCACTGGTCATCATTTCGTCCCTCATGTTGCGTTTCTTCCAATGCGACAGTACAGTTCCAGGGCCACCCTCGTCCTCCAGCTCAATGCCCTCAAGCGTGGAGCAGTTGTGGTACTGACGCGCCATTGCCTTCGTGTTCGGCGTTGAAATCACCGACACCTTGGGCATCCCGCGCACGTTCGGGACCTCGGAAATCATATGTAACGTCACAAAATAATCAACATCAAACCCAAGAGCATGCCCCAACTCGTGGGCTGCCACACGCACGTCTCCATTTGTCACCAATATTTGCTTCGGGTCAAAGTTCACGGCAGCAGCAAATGGACGACCATCATCCAGCAGGAAGCACAGAACCGCCCACGCGGCTGGACCAGAAGTCGGAAAAATATTGGCGTAGAGAATCATGTCGGTGCCAGCCACACCCACCATGTGGTGCTTGTGCGGGATGGTGAAGTTCTCGCACATCCCCAGTCCGGTATGCGGAATAACGACGGGGCGCGTCACGGGCCTCACGGAGAGACGCTCCGCGTGCAGTTGAATGGCGGCGGGGAGAATTTGCCTCAAAACAATGTTCCTCCTCTCCTCCGTCAACACGTCGTCCGCCTCGCATGTTATTGCACGGCCATCGTGGTCAATGCGCAGATCCCCCGCCGCAGTGCAGTGCCTCAACGGATTGTACATGTCCTCCGCGGACACCTTGATGCGGATCGGAGCCCAGCCATCGTCCCCATCCTCGCTGGCGGCGGTGTACGCCTGCACGGCGCCCTGTCCCCGGCGCGGCACCTCACGCACCACCGCAGTCGGCAGCCGTCCGTATTTCTTCATCATCGCGTCAAACCCACAGCGGTGCTTCACGGCACGATCGGCGGCAACGCAAGCACCGGCGCAACACACCACCATCATGAGCCACGGCAGCAGCAGTGGCAGTGCGGTGCGGCGTGGCTGGCGCATGGCTTGGGGACAACGTGTCTGTTCCTGAGGTGCGGGCGGCAGCAGTGGTATTATTCGTAGTGGTGGTGGCACAGGCCTTGTCTGCGGGAGAAGAAGCAGAAGGAAGAGGAGAAGAGCAGAGGGGCAGCACTACAAATTACCGCAGCGCACACACAGACAAAAAAAATAAACAAAGCCTCCAAATAAAGTCGAAGCACAGAAAAATGTTCTGCAGGGATGCTGACCAGATCCCGAACTGATACGCACAAATAAAATAGGACAGGAAAGAAGAGGGTCATGGAGAGGCAGCGGCATCGCCACATCCTCAGTGTTTGTCCCAACTACATCTATATGTTCGGACAGGCACTCTCGTGCCACGGTGCGGTGTATTCGGGTTGGAGACATTTATTACCTACGAAATGGAACACTTTGGGCCCTCCAGCCACAAGACCCCGCCGCAAGGTCGGAATCAAAGAGGGTGGATGGCAAAAATAAAAATAAAATTCATCCTGCCGTTATCGGTTCCTTTCAAAGGACCATAAGATAGGAAAAGGATCGCACGCAAATATTTTCGTCGTTTTACCAGGGCATATATTAAATTGGGCAGCCAGCCCTCTCGATAACATTCTTCTCACAGGCACTCAAAAGTACCATCACCCCATCTACGCAGTGGCATGCACACGGAGTGAAGAGAGGGCACAGGAGAGAGAAGTAAAAATAGTCCGAAACTTAATCTCCTCCAGCACAGGACAAGGAAAAACAAATGTAAACACCTCGTGCCCTCGTCATGCTGTCGCCATGGCTGCGACGGATGCATTCCGTGGCCCACGGCGAGTCCGGCGTGACTTCCCACTCCCACGATCATTCATGATTCACGAAAAGGAGGTGCCGAGTGCGTCTTTCGCTCGCCTCCCGCGTGGGGCGAGGAGGATCGCGTGGGGCGGGCCCCCACACCAATAAGCTGGGCAAAGAGGACACGGCTGGGCAGTTTTGCCGCCCACTCGTAGGGCCCGGCCATTCCCCCGCAGCAAAAATGAATAATAGTAAAACACGGGAGAGGCCCGTCTGCGTGGAACGCCGCATCGAGCGCACTCGTCCCCGCCCTCAGCACAGCAGTCACGGACAACCCCGCACTCATTGGGTCACAGCGACTTCCCATCGCCTGCCCGCACCAAAAGACGCACGTGGGCGCATGCGGTGCTGGGACTCGTCTCCTCCCTCCAGACCACCTCGCCACAACGCAGGCTCGCATAAGTTCAATCCTCCAGCACACAAATGTCCGCTAAGCCACGCATCGCAGGCACACACACACAAAAAAAACAAATACACTCATTGTCCGTTTTTCAGAAGCGAAGAGAGGAGTAGCGCAACAGTTGCACGGTGCTATCATTACTGCTGTGCTGCGTCTCGCGAGTGCGGGGTCGACAAGCCATGTGCACATCACGACCCTGCCACGTGTCACGCATCTTTTGGCTCTCGCTTTTAAATCGATCCGCAGCCGCCACTCGCGTGCCGCCCCACAATCCACGCTGGCCGATTAATTTATTGGCGGCAGAGCCCCGGAATCAGAGTCGCCGCGGCCGCTTCCTCGGAACCCCACCCTCGTCTCCCTCCGCACCCTCCGCGGATGTCGGGTCGTCCGCTAGAGGCGGGTCAACGACCGTTATTGGGTAGCTGCTGATGTTCGGGAATGCGGTGCACACATCGGCGTATTGGGGGCACACAATGCTCCCACGCCAGGGACCCGATGGCGGCGTGACGGTTTCACCTGCCTGGCACTCGTGCCACGCATCGTCATCAAGGAACCGCACGCTCACTGTGCCGTCGCCGCATCGAGTTTCCACACACACGTCGCCAATGTATTTGTCGTCGAATTGAAGGTCCTGCCCCTTCACGCACCGCGAGTTCGGGCCAACAACACTGCCAGGCATTACTGAAGGATCGCCGTTGGTGCAACCACCATTAGAATACGCCTTGACATACGGGCATCTGCTCATGAAGAGGTCATCACCGCCAACTCGGGGATCAGCGAAGTACTGATACTCCTGTGGCAGGGCTTCCTCGTGCCTCTTCAGCCTACAGTACCCCAGAGACAGACGGTCGTACGTGCAGAAGAACTTTTCATCGTCGTCAAACTGGTTGCAGAACAGATCAGGGTATTCGATGATGCCGTCGGTCAAGCACTTCTTTTCCAGCAGCCCACAGCCAGAGTTGTTGCCCCACCACAACATCTCCGCCGCGCTGTAGTTTGCCACATAAACACCCATGTCCTCAAATGCTGCAAGCGTCAGTGCCGAGTACAGCCCAACCCCCACATCACTGGTCATCATTTCGTCCCTCATGTTGCGTTTCTTCCAATGCGACAGTACAGTTTCAGAACCGCCCTCGTCCTCCAGCTCAATGCCCTCAAGCGTGGAGCAGTTGTGGTACTGACGCGCCATTGCCTTCGTGTTCGGCGTTGAAATCACCGACACCTTGGGCATCCCGCGCACGTTCGGGACATCCATTTTTTTTTTTTTCGTGATAAGCCCGTTATTGAAATAAATTTTTTTTTAGTAAAAAAAGAACACCAAGTGTTCTGCAAAAATTGTTCACGCCCTTTGTTTTTCGTGGCGTTGACGCCCCGTGGCAAAGGCGTTCCCAGCTCTCACTATTCGTGGTAGTATTGTCCTACAATTTGCACCGCTGGAATGTTTAATGGGGTATATAGCCATGCTTTCAGGATGAAAGAGTGAGAGCGTTGTAAAGAGGGCCTTTTGTTTTTCTTTTACTTGTTTGTAGCGATCGCATGTTTGAGCGTGTTGTCGCTGAACGTCAAAAGTAATGGTGATGAAATGATGTATATATACATAATGAGCATCCCTATTCTCAACGCTAAGAAAAACAAACAAACAAACATAAAACAAATATATTAAAAGACAAAATATTTCGTTCTGCGCTGCGTAGCCAAAAAAAAAAAAACAATCTTTACCCTGACGTCTTCGTTTACTTCGGGTACCGTCATCTTTCGGGGGTAAGTAAAATAAATCGAGAGGAGGAGGGAGGAAAGTGAAAAGGGGACAAGAGAAAACCACACCTTTCCCCATCCTGGGTGTTCATTCTTTGTTTCATTCCTTTCCATTTTTCCCTCTCTGCCTCTTATCCCGGCTTGGCAACGTTCTATGCATCCTCAAAGTCGTCCAAGTACTCGACCTCGGAGGTGATGAATGAGTCGTAGGAGGATTCCGCTCTTCGCGTGGGTGAAAGTACTGAGCTACCGGAGTTTTTGCCGCGGGGTTCGCTGACGGAAGTGTACGTCGTTTCATTGGGTAATTGGAGGCGCTGCATCGCGGGAGCAAGCGGAACAAAGGGGCCCTTTTTGTACGATACGGGTGGCTCTTCATAATCCCGGATAATTTGCACGCGAATAACTTTCGTGGCTGCCTCCTTCTTTCGTGTCGGCTGTCTTTCCAAGGCCATCCGCGCATCCTTGTATTTATTCCACATGTCCGTTAAAAACTCCACCTGGTGTCTGAGTGTGTGCAGGTGAACTGCCAACTCGACTCTTTCCTCCTCGGCTGCCCGGCCCTTCCGAGCCTGGTGAAACGCTTCCACCAGGCTTTGTTTCAGTTCATCCAGAGGAGCAACCTTCAACGCCGTTCCCTGGAATTTCGCGTATAGGCGCTCCACTGCGGTTGCAAGCAAATTTTCCATTTTGTTCTCTTCTGAAAACACAGGGAATTCGGTTCTATCACCGTGTCCCAGCGCCATTGTGCCCAGGCCATTGTTACTATAGGCCTCGTCCGGACCCACGGCGACACTACAGGAGTTGAGCGTCTTTGATTGAAGCTCGTGTTGTGGGGGCGTCCCATTGCGACTGCATACAACAGATGCCACTGACTTTTCTTCGTTAGGCACGACAATTACACGACTTTTGTTGGCTTCGCTCGTGCCATAATTTTTCTCAAATTCCTGCAAAGGAGATTTCTGTCCATCCCTTTTTGGATGAATTTCATCTTCCTGGCCATCGTCGTGGTGTTGGGGGACTTCCTTGTGAGAGGACTCCGCTTCGCACATCTTACTGCCACTGGTGAACTTCATCGCCCCAGCATCAAGAGACACGGTCGCGGAGTGAGCTAACAATTCCCTACTCTCTTGACATGCCAAGGAGACCAGTGAAGAATGCCTTGAAGTGTGTTCCTGCTTTTCAATGGACGTGGCGTCTTGGGAGATTCGAAGAACGTTCAGATCCCTCCCCTGCAGAGGTTTATTTCTTGCACTTATGAAAAGGGAGGAAAGCCATGATAATCCCTCTTGACAATGTCGTTTCCCTTCAGTGGGAAGATCATAGGGGCATCGCAACGCTGCGCACTTTAAATAGAGTTGTAAGGGATTGAGGCTACCCCATTTCTCCCGTCTTTTATCAGAGGAGGTGAACATAAACTCCAACAACGGCCTCTATTAACCATTCGCCTATGTTGCTACCTACAGGAGGAGAACCATAGTTCAAGAAACAAGAGGGCATCATATTAATACCCACCAGACTCACAAATAAACAAATGGAGTACGTGGTGTAATGCAATTTACACAACCGGCTGCCGCATCAGGAGGGTCATCGGTGCCCCTTTAGTGTTTTCTTTGAAACACCACATGTCTGTCGTCCCATCGTCCTTTTTCTCTCAGCGGCCCACCCCCCCCATCCTGTTGAGCCAAACACACAAAGAAGAGAGAGAACGAGAGGAATCAAACAAACCAAAACGGTACATACATACATATATTAGAAATTATCCGTGTGATTGGGAATGAGAACTAAAACAAGAAGAAAAAAAAAAAACAAGACAATGTGTGGAGAGCGTTTGGAAGCAACTACAATGGTGCATTGAAGATCGTTCACTTCCGATTATCTCATCATGACGGTACCGCCAGCGAGGCAAACAAAAAAAGGCATAATTGAGGCCGACGGAGAATGTGTACGTGTGTGCGTCTGGCCTTTTTCTCCATTTTTTTCTCTCTAATATATATATACGTGTACTGTGCGAAGTCCTATCTTTTCTATAGTTTCATAAGGCCACGGTATACTACGTCCTCTGGCCGACCAATCACCACGATAGTCTGTGGCGCCGATGTACGAGTGGAGTCCGTTAACGTCACCGCCAAAGATTTGAATGTATTCGTGGAGCTCATAAATCCAGTCGTTTCGCGGCGCACATCACATGTAACAAAGCCTTCTCTCCCGTTCGCTGGATTACGCAAGATAAACATCATCTGCAATTTTCTTTGCTTTAGTCCTAAAAGATCAGATAGTTCATAGGACCCGCTGCGAATACGACGAATGAGTGGAAGACGAAAGCCTCCGCTTTGGCAATAGGCCTTGAAGTCCCCCGTGCGGGGGTGCGAACCGAGGTGTTGCACAACCTTTTCGTTTCGCATTACAAGAGCGATAGATTGGTTGTACACGGCGTTGGGGTTGATCCTAAATCGGCGAATTACTGCAATGATGACGGTGTAGAGCACTGCACTACATAAAAAGCCACTCATGAATCCCAGACGGGCCACTGTTGCCAGGCTAAAGCGTGAAAGCATGGCGTAGCCCTTGAGGAACACTGCCACAATCACAATGATGGCGCATACAGTGGCACCGGTTTTGGCATAAAATATCACAGCATCGGCGGAGAAGCCAAAAATGGTCCCTGTGTAGTGTGTTGCTTGCTTGTCGAAGAGGACATCCTCCACCTTTACCTGCCGTGCTTTGGGACGTAGCATGCCAAAAAAAGTACGCCGTGCCGTGTAAAAGGCAGAGGAGCGATATGGTGCAGGAATAACGCCCATGCGGGACGGCACCGGGAAATGAAGCGTCGCCTGCGATGACGCGGTGGAATGAATGATACGTCGCATCATTCTCCTCCTTTCACGGCCGGAAAGAGAAAAGGCTTCTTCGCGTCCCACGGACACACACACACACACACACACACTCCCTCCCTTTGCGTGTGTTGCTGTGCAACCCCCTTATCTGCCCGCCTCACTGCTCTGTCGCGAGAACTGCACGCAAACACGAATCCGGAGAAAAAAAAAATAGTAATAATTAAAAGAAAAAGGCGCTTCAGTGAAACAACAACAACAGAAGTTAACAGCACAACATTCGATTTATGCGGTCTTTCACAAAAACACACCACAAGTAAATATACCAAACGGGGGAGAAGCAAAAAGATGGCCAATAAGAAAGTTTTTTTCCCCCCCCCCCCCTTCTCTTCGTTGTTTGTTTCGACCGCTTTTTCTCGCAAAACAGCCCGACAACAGAGAACAACTCAAACACACACACGCACGAGCCATACCGTTTCCACACGCATGGAGGGAGTGGGAGAGAAATGGAAGGGGGATCGAGAGACACAGACAAAACCCCTCCTATTTCTTCTCAGGTTATTGTATTTCCATCTCCGCCCTCCCCCAACCCCGTTTATTAAATATATATAAATATAATGATAGCCCTTGCCGCTGCTCCTTCTGCTGCCGCCACAGTTGCCTCTGTTACGCGCATCTCCGCGGCGCAACGGGTGGGTTGGTTCATTGAGACAACAGAAAATTGTGGTCGGGTTTGAAGCCAAATATAGCCGCGTACGCGTGGATGCCTGCGTGTGTACGTGACTGTTCTGAGGAGGTGTGGGGCGTATTGCGACCCCCAGGTAAAATGCCCGCCACATCTCGAAAAAAAAAAAAAAGGAAATCCATCGAATAAATAATACACCAGCCATCGCTCCCCAAGAGTGAGCTGGAACACACAGAAAGACACACGCAGACACGCAGAAACGGACAGACAGACAACGAATAAAGTAACACAACAACAGCAACAACCAGAGAAGTGAGCAATAATGTCGCAACTCAAAGCGAGAGGGTATTGACGATGTTGGGGAACACGGACGGACACATGTATGCATATATATATGTAACTGTGTTCGTGTGCGTTTTCCGTCTTCTCCCTCCCCATTTCCATTTAGAGTGTTTTTCCCAAAACAGCGGCCAAAACAAACAAGGCAATAATAGCTGCTACAACGAGCACCAGGCAACAAAGTTTTCTTCTACTGCGTCTTTGATACTTGCGTGCCTTCTTCATCTCCTTTCTGCCCGCCTCTACATATTTGGTTGTGGTCTCGATGTTTCTCAAAACCACATCCATAATCTCACCTTGCTCGTGCACGAGAAATGCCAAATCGTTGAAGAGTTGGTTGAGTGTCCGCATCGACCGCTCAATGTGGTAGATGTCATTCCTAGTCTCGATAATCTGAGCCAGAACATCTTTACTCTGCTGAAAAATGCTGCTAGTGGTGTTGTTCTCCAGCACTGCCTGGGCAAGTTCCTTCGCCGTCTCATCATCAATCGCGGAACCATCAGGGTTTGTGTATTTGATTTTTATCTGCCGTTCGGTCTGTGCGCGGTACTGCGACTCCACCGAATTCTGCTGTCGCTCATACGCCTCCATCGCCTTGCTTAGCCGATATAACAAATAACGCCTCTGATTTTCCTCAATACGTATCACGCCAATAAAGTGACTCTCCATCTCGGGAGTTGCCTTTAGTTTGTCCGTCTCCCTCTTCATTGTCTCAAGGATTTCAGCAGAGGCTTGCGCGGAGGCGTTGAGTTGTTGCGTCAACGCCTCCACCTCCTGCCGCATGGAGCTGCTCTTCATGAGATCAAACGTACTCATGATCTCCGAGTGTTTTGCGGCAATTTCTCGCGTCAATCCAGTGACACGTTCAACGGCACCGCCGGCTGCGGCAACTAAATCGTAGAACTCCTCTAATTTCTTCGCCGCCTGGACGCTCTGCTCCGATGGAGGCTCCGTGACGGTGACCCGCGCCGGACCCAACTTGTCGGACCCCGGCGCCGGCACATCACCAATCAAAGTGAGACCACAAGCCGCTTGAAACTGAGCGAGGCGGTTCATCGATGCCTGACACCCCGGAAAAGAGAGCGGGAGAGAGGCGCGGGGGCCGTGAGGCAAAGAACTACGGGCAAAAAGGAAAAAAACAAACAAACAAACAAACAAAAATAAAAGAATGAAAAAGGACCGCGGGGATATTCGGAGCGCAGGAAGAACCCCGGGCGGCAGGGCAGTCACAGCGGTCCCCTTCCCTTCCGCCTTGATTGAAGTGTGTGACGAGTCTGTCTGTGTGTGTGTGTGTGTGTGTCTGCCCTTCAGCCCACCTGGAATGAATTTGAAAAAACAAAACAAAACAAAAAGACGGAAACGAGAACGTGGGAGGAAAAGGAGCAAAATTAAAATATCCACACAAGGAATAGCAAGAGTCCTGTCCTACTCCTACTCCTCCTTCATTCATACCGTCCGCATCCAACAAAAAGTGAGAGAAAAAGGAGTGAGTCGAAGCAACGACAAAAAACAACAACAACAACAACAACTGCGAGTTCACAAACGAAGAATCAGCCCTCCTTTCTGGTTCATCTCCTCCCGTAAAAGGGCCCTTTCTTGCGCGAGTTGATTGCTGACATCGTGCAATAGGCCCTCCATCTCGCCACGACAGAGTGGCTGCATCTGCGGGGAAAGGATCCGTAGCTGTTCTTCCATAACTTCCTGAACTTTATGGCTTTCCTCAAAAGATCCCGTAAAACGCAGTAACTTGGCTTGGCGAATGAGTAGCTTGAACTTGATAGTATGCAACCAGAGCCACTCACTTCTTAAAACCGATGCCTCTTCCGTCCCCTGAAGTTTCTCAACATTCAACCAAGCCAAAACGCGCTGAAGAACATCCAATGCGCGTGCGCACCATCGGGCAACCTGCATTTGACGCTGCCGAAGGACATTTGCATTACGCCTGCTTGTTGACGATGCATCTGACGAGGAAGAAGAAGTGGGTTGCATCCGCAAAAGAGTGTGTGCCGCATTGGCTGCGGCTACCAGCACTTGGCGGTGCAATGCATACCAAACATGGAGAAGTACATGGGCGTCAGGAAACAAATCTCTTCCATGCGCTAGCATAGAATCATAGTATAAAGCATTCACTTCAGAACAAGCGGTGTTATTTCTTCGCAAATTAAGAAGAAGATTTAAATATCGATTCGCTGGTGTGATATCTTTTCCCCCTTGCAACACTGTGGTAGCAAAAATGGAATAAATTTCGTCCTCGATATCATCCTCTTCAGCGTTTTCCATGCGATCCTCCAGGGAAGGCGGCGGTCGAAGCGAGTGGTTATACGGGTACAGGATTCCTTTCTGGGCCAAAGCCAGCGCACGGTGATAGCAGTCCATGGCGTCTCTGAGATTCAGCAAGGGTTCCTGGAGGGACTCCCCGCCTGCTTCCCTCATTTGTTCCGCCAACCGAAGATGCGAATAATATAAAATGGAAGCAAGCCGGTCTGCGGTCAATTCGTCATGCACACTCTGCGGGACCACTTCTATTCGCCCCATGGTGAATACAAGCCGGTACACTTTCTTTGCTCCATGGGCGTCGATATTAGCCAATCCATGGCGAGGTATAAATGTTGCCTTCAGGTCTCTGGAGAAGGGAATTAACGTCACCGCTCCTGGAATGAGTGCACTGATGCGTGTGACACTGTGAGCTGCTTGGTGAAGAAGTCGTTGCAACAGCTGCGATGACCAGTGAACTGACGCCACCGCTGTGTTAAAAGGTCCCTTTTTAATAGAAATGAATGGAGCAATAGAGGCCTCGACTACATCCTCACCATCGTGGCCTGTTGCAGATACCCTCGTGAAATCTTTATCGTCTCCATGTGTCTGCCATTGTGCGTCGTGAAGTCGTTGTAATGCCCGCCGCGTCAGCAGACGAATAAGCCCGTGGCGGAGCAGAGTCCTAAACTCCTTGGAGAGCAGCCCACCCAATGGGGCATAGAAGCGAAGAAACGGGCCCAGCTCGCGCTCCACCTCCGTCACTCCCCCAAGCGTCACCTCATCCCCTTCCTCCTTTTCCAACCACTCCCCTCCATGGAGCAGCAACGCCTCGTATTTCGACAATGCAGGTGGCGGCCACGACATGGTTCTCTTGGCGTTGCAAACAAAGAACTCAGCGGCCTGGAGCTGCTCACGCACAATTCCTCCTTCATCCTCCAGAAAAAGTTCCGCCGTGGCTGTGACCCGCAGAAGTGCCATTTCTTCTGTCTTCCTCGCCACGCCGCACACAGTAAGAACGCATAAATGGACAAGGAAAAAAAAAAAAACAACCAAAAGCCCAAACAACAGCATAAAGGAAAAAAAAAAAAGAAGCGGAGACGGGGATGGCGGAGTGCAGAGGGACATTGGGTCAAAGAACACCCCGCATTTCCATGGGACATATCCAGTTGCTGCAGCCAACCAGTTATAAAGTTAAAAAAAAAAAATTCCATTTATAAAATAACCTCCAACGCTTTTCAAAACAAACAAACAAACAAAAAAAATTATTTTATTTTCCCTAAGTTTTTTTTTTTTTCCATTTACTCCAAGAGCCGAGGGTAATGGGGGACAAAAAAGGAGTTGCTCTTCAACGCTTCTTGTAGCGTCTCATTGGCAGAACAGAGTCGACCCACGATTGCGTCCTTCACATGTAATAAAAGATGTAAAAAAAAAAAAATGATTAAAAAAACACGTACGCACAGAAACACACAACAACAACAACAAAAGACCCAACAAAAGTAATAGTCTAAAAGTAATTAAGCTAAGAATAAAAAATTAAAAAGAGCCTCCAACCAAAGCCGAAGCACAGAAAAATGTTCTGCAGCGCTGCTGACCAGATCCCGAACTGATACGCACAAATAAAATAGGACGGGAAAGAAGAGGGTCATGGAGAGGCAGCGGCATCGCCACATCCTCAGTGTTTGTCCCAACTACATCTATATGTTCGGACAGGCACTCTCGTGCCACGGTGCGGTGTATTCGGGTTGGAGACATTTATTACCTACGAAATGGAAGACTTTGGGCCCTCCAGCCACAAGACCCCGCCGCAAGGTCGGAATCAAAGAGGGTGGATGGCAAAAATAAAAAATTCATCCTGCCGTTATCGGTTCCTTGATTCCTTCCATCGGGGCCTTTCAAAGGACAATAATATAGGAAAAGGATCGCACGCAAATATTTTCGTCGTTTTGCCAGGGCATATATTAAATTGGGCAGCCAGCTCTCTCGATAACAATCTTCTCACAGGCCCTGAAATATGATTCGTAGGAAAAGCAAATGTGTAAATGGTGCAAAGCAAATAGATTCATAGGGCTGACACCGGAACAACAGCTGACAATAACAATTTATGTTGGTGAACTCGTTTGTCTTTGCGTAAGAAGAAGAGCTCTTGCGGTTACTCTTTCCCCTTACATGGTGGTGCAGCATCCGCATCTATGATTCCTGCCGCAACACGGTTTATCAGCAGCAATCTGTGCGGTACGCCTGCACCTCCCTGAGTCCCGATTTATCGGGTCTCCCTCAAGCTGCTGCAACAGTTCCTGTTGTGTCGCCGCAATGCGCTGCATATCCCAAAGAATAGCATGCAGGGTATTCATATGATCCTGCAGTTTCCTAAAATCCAAATTTCCCTCCTCGGCGTTGTCATCCAGAGAACTTGATATGACGCCACCAGCTGTTTTTTCCCACAAGGAGGACGTTTCCGAATCGCCGCGCCAAATAAACGAAGAAGTGTTCGTGCGAGAGCCTCCAATGTCTCTTTGTCTCCGCAGCATGTCCCTACAAAGCCGGTAATGTTGTTGCCATGCCGTGAAAAGCTGTCGGTAAAGAAGTGACTGCTGATTCTTTTGAATGCCTATCATATTTTTACGCGAGGCAATGAAGGCAGCACGTGTGACGGGGATTTCAATTCGTTCCCTCGTCGTCAAGGCACCGAAAAAGTGCAGGGACCTCATTTTCTCCAGTGCGGCGGAAAATTCCGTCCTGAATTCACAGTAAAGTTTTTCCCGCACCAAACTTTCGTCATCGCCATGGCCATTAAGAGCAGCAAAACCTTTTTTTTGTCGCAGTCGCTGCATCATTTTCCCTGAGGAATCGCGCAGACGGGAGGTGATGATATTCGCCCGGTGTACCCGCCGGCGTATCTCGGCTGCATTGGTGACAATCTCTCTGCAGGGGTCCTTTCCCTCGGCCTCCTCGCGGCGGTGCCGCTCCTCTTGGCCGCTGCCTTTGGCCTGTAGGAGACAATTTTTGGACAAATTGCTCCCCGCCTCACTATTCCATGCACCGGAGGCGGATGACGACATGTCGTCTTTACTCAACGTTCTCCTCACGAACAGAGGCGCATCCTTCCCCTGCATCTGCCGTGTCTTAAGCCCCGACAGGGAATCCATGCGCGCCCACGCACCGTCTTTTTTTCCTTTCACCACCAATACTCGGGTGATTGGCCCCCTTTTTCTCTCTCTCTCTCTCTCTCTTCGCCAATTCCCTCCACACGCTTTTCATTCACTGGTTGATCGTGCGAATAGCTTGGGTGTCCCGCAAAGGGCCCTCACACACCGAGACTACAGCAAAATAAAGGCAAAAAAAAAAAGGCAACGATGAAGAGTCATGTGTCATTCCAACCAGAGAGAGTTCAATAAATTTATTAAATAGCCAGCGTCTTGTCCTCATAACACCCGTGCACACATGTACGTATGCTTCCAAAATAAATAATAATAATAATAAAAATAAAAATACATTTATTTATGTACCTGTCGCCGGTAAGGAAATGCCTGCCATTTTTTTTCTTTCGTCCTTCTTTCCTCCTTCTATGTTTGCTGTTATTTTCTCACCGCAGCGTCGTTATTTTTCCATTAACCAAAGAAGTGTACTGCATTTGAAAGGGGAATAAGAAGTATAACAACAAGAAAAGGAAATGAGGAAACAACCATCCAGAGAGAGAGAGAGAGAGAGAGAGAGAGAGGGATGGAGAAAAGGATGATCCACCGGTTGTATCGCCGTCTCATTGCCCAACAAACAATGTTATCCTTCATGCGTGCTGATTTTTCCATCGTTGTAAGCGTATGAAGCCTGTAATGACACATATCCTCCTCCTCCTTCTCTGTCCCGCTCTTTATTCCACTTTTCCTCATGTTATCAGCCTCAATGACGCCGCCCCTTCCTCTCTAATAAGTTATTTTTTACAACAATACGGCCTCTCACTGCCATTTCGGTACGCTTTTAGTTCTTCTGCTTCTCTTTCCTCGATTCGATCCATATTGGTTGCTGTCTGGCGGTGGTTCTCTTCGTTTCGTGCGTTTCACAATAGAAACATACACACACACACACGGCCGATACTTAGAACTGGTCCGCAATATTTGCAGGCAGCTCCTCAATCTGCGTGGCGTAGAACTGCTCAACGTCCCGCAGCAACCGCAGCTCATCATGCTTCACAAAACTAATCGCAAGACCCTTGCGGCCCATTCGCCCCGTGCGTCCAATGCGATGGATGTACTGCTCACGTGAAAATGGCAAATCGTAGTTCAGCACAAGCGACACCTGCTCCACGTCAATGCCACGTGACCATAAGTCTGTTGAAATGAGCACTCGGCTTTTTCCCTCACGGAAGTTTCGCATAATTTCATCCCGCTCCGCCTGCGGCATGTCGCCATGCATGCAACTCACGGAAAACTTCTCCTTTCGCATCTTCTTCGCCAACTGTTCGACCTTTTTGCGGGTGTTACAGAAGATAACGGCATGGGCGATGGTTAGGGTGTCGTAGAGGTCGCAGAGAGTTTCAAATTTGTTTTTTTCCTCATCCACCGCAACAAAATACTGCATGATGGAATCTACCGTAATTTCGTCACGCCTAACAAGAATACGCACAGGCTCAGTCATGAACTTTTCCGTCATTTCAAGCACATCCACGGGAAGCGTCGCGGAGACAAGGACTACCTGCAACGGCGGAATCATGCGGTAAATGTCGTGAATCTGCGCCTTGAACCCTTTGCCAAGCATCTCATCCGCCTCGTCCAAAACAAGTGTCTTTAGATGATTCACACGCAGGTGACGCCGTTTGATCATGTCAAACACGCGTCCTGGGGTGCCAGACACAATCTGCACACCACTCTCCAGACGACGTATGTCATCTTCCACGCTCTTTCCTCCAATAGAGGCGTATGCGGCGAGACCCATGTGGTGACCAATGTTGTTGCAGAGATCTTGCGTCTGCAGCGCCAGTTCTCGCGTGGGACTAAGCACAAGCCCTTGCGTTTCCCGCAGCGCTGATTGGCATACCTGCAGAAGACAAATACAAAAGGCCGATGTCTTGCCGGATCCGGAAGAGGCCTGCGCCACAAGGTCACGGGACTGAGTGAATGGCACAATAAATCGTTTCTGAATGGCAGTGGGTTTCTTGTAACCGTATCCATACATGCCACGCAGCAATTCCTCCTTTAGCCCCATCGCCTCAAACGTTGGAATGGCTAAGACATTTGCTTGTATGTCAGTTTCTTCCTTCTCTACTATTTGCTCGACGTCTCCCATTGCTGCGTTTCCCCTTATGTTTATTTTTCTCTGCCCCTTCTTCCCTTCCTTCCTTACACAGTCACAGACACACAGCCCTTCTTTCTCTATCGCTATTTGTTTAGTTTTTTTTTTTTTTTCTTCTCCTTCGCTCTTTGTCCAAAGTCAGAGTGGACAGGTGCCTGAAAGTGATGGCTGCAATAAATGCGTGCCGATATATATATATATATATATAGAGAGAGAGAGAGAGAGAGAACAACAAAAAGAAAGGGCACATCGTTTATCTCCTCATTTGGGTTCGTTGGCTCCTTTTTTTCTTTTTTGTCACCTCCTTTTCCCCTTTCCCTTTTTTTTTTTTTTTTTTAGCAGCAAGCAGAATAACAAATATTAACGATAAAGGTGAAACTGATGGTTTACACACAAAACAAATAAAAAAGAAGGGAGAAAAAAAAACCAAAAAAAAAATCAAGTAAACGACGCTGTTTTTGTGAAGGGAAACAATTATGTGCAAGAAACTCTTTTTTTTTCTTTTTTTTTTTTTTTTTTTCCCTCTTAGTTGTCCTCCACCCCTCCTTTCACTACCTTCTACCGCAGCGACCGCCGTGGTTTGCATCTGTCACGACGATGGAAGAAGGCATGCGTGCATGCATGTGCGCACATGTAGCCAAGTACACTAGGCTGTGCTGTTCTCTGTTTTGGCCCGGTGTAATGCCTCGCGGAGTTCTGCAATCACCGTTGCGCTTCGCCCACATGCACGCTCCAAGATGTCTATTTTACCTTGCAACACCATAACAGCCGACTGATGCTCCTCTGCCATCATTTTCTTCAGCATCCGCTCCTCATCCCGGTGTTGCTCCACCAAAATACCGCGAAGCATCCTTTCACGATCGCGCTCACTCTCTGCGACGGCAAGTTTCTTGCGTGCCTCCTCCAACACTAAAGTCCATTCCTTCAGCTCACCCAAAAATCCCTCCTTCTCACTTTTCATTCGCTCCTCAAGCACCGCAATGCGGTCACGCGCAGCGCGCTCTGCGGAGCTCCACGCCACCTCCTTTTCCTGTGCCCTTTCCTGCAAAACCTCCATGCGTGAAGTCAGTGTCATGTTCTCTTCACTGAGCACTCGGTTCACTTCTTCAAGTTTCTTAATTCGCTCCACATGCACCTTCGCCTCGTCACATAGCGTGCCATGTAGCTCCTTCATGCGATTCACTTCCTTTGAATGGCGTTTTGCCTCTTGCCTTGTGCGCTGCAGCGCCTTCTCAAGCCTGGCGCAACGCTCTTGACATGCCTCAACTGTGGCCTCGCAGGCGGAGCGCTCGGCTTTCAGTTTGCTAATCGTCGTGGCCGCCTGCTGTCGAACTGCCCGCTCACGCTCGACGCACTGCCGCCACTCAACCTTGAGCACCTCGTGCTCCACCTGCACTGTACGGAGGGCATCATACACACTGCAGTTCTTCTCCTCGCCATTTTCCGTCCTTACAGAGACACGACCACTGGTGTCTAATGTCAACGATTGCTGCTGTTGTGACTCCTTTCTCCGCCGGAGGAGAGCTCTTGCACGAGAAAGATCAGCATGCAATTTCTGCAGCTTTCCACGCAACGACAACGACTCTTGTCTCACCTCCTGCAGCTGCTTGTCGTGACGGATGAAGGCTCTAAACGCCAATGCCAAAAGGCGCTCCAAATCTGCACCTTGCTCCATCATTAAGTCCAACCGGCTACACACCGCCCCCATGAGCAACTCCTTCTCCGCCCTTTCGTAGCGCATTTGTCTCTGAAGCAGCAGCAAACGTCCATTGACGCATGTTACTTGTTCCTTCCACTCCTCCACAATACGCTCATGCTGAGAGCATTCCAACTGCGCTCGCTTTTCCAATAGTTCCACCCTCTGGTTATGCGCAGACTCCGCCGCTCTGTGAGCCTCGCAGAGCTGTTGCTTCTCAGCCACAGCCTGCTTTGCACACCGCAGGAAAAGTGACAATGTAGCGTAGGCACCGCTACAGGCATCTGCAATAGCGCTACGGGCGTATCGCTCCGCCTCAAACAAATTATTACAGGCGAGTGACCTCGTACGCAGATTAACGCCAACTAAATATTCCTGTCGCGCCTGCAATTCGCAACATTCCGCGTGCAGGTTGATACAGGCACCAATGACGCTCTCAATGGGGTAATCTAACTCCGAGGACATGTTCAGAACCTCTCGGGCACGCCAGACGGCATGGCGAATGGCACTGCCTTCCTCTTGCTGGGCTTCAATAAGCATTTGCTTTTCCCGAAGCTCGGTCTGCAGTGTTGTGACTAAAAGCTTCAGTGTGCGCCGATCCGTCTCTCGGTCATTTTCACCCGCAAGCACCTCATCCAGCTGCTTCTTCAGGCGCTTATTGTCTCTGTAGAGTTCAAAGATGTCTTCATCCTTTTGGTCAATGACTTCGTAGTATTTCTGCACCACTTGGCTGATATCATCCATCGCTTAAGGCGTAAATATCAAATGTGGCGAGGATGATAAGAGGAGCTGCATCTTCGATGGGGAGAAAAGGAAATAATAAACAACAAAAGATAAAGAACGATACCACGCACACGGCAATGAAGGGGGGGGGGGGGGAAAGGCAAAACACATTTTTTTCTCCCTCCAAGTACGAAAAAGAAATAAGACGTATTAAACGGATGTGAGAGACTACAAGGAAGACTCGTCAAGCATTGGCTTCATGCGAAAGACGCATAAATATGTATTTATGTTTGTTCCCTCCTTGTTTCCGTTTCCTCAGCAATAAAGAGGAACCCATTCCTCTTCCCCCCGCCGTCCAATTGGCTACACGTAAGCCCATCGCAGCACGTGATGTTCTGTTAACCCACAAATAAAAATCACCGGTCGACCATTCACCTTCACATGCCGCATCGTCAGGGATGAGACATGTGGCAGATCTTCGATAGTCAACGTGCCCAATGTGCACGACGGCAATGATGAAAAGGAGGGGGACAAGAATCCCAAATCATGCACTTTGCCGTCCAGCGATAGGCCTACACAAGTGCCGTTAGAAAGGAGCAGCACCAAAACAATTGTCCCCATCGTGTCGGTTGCAAAAAAAACAAATTCGTCTGCCCCGTCTTCGCTCTTATTGTCGGTGGTCTCGCGGGGAAACGAGTACGCCGGGCACACCCCCAATATTTGTGTGGATGATGATGCTGTTGTGTACAATTTCTGGTGTCTCCAGGTGGGGGCGTGAAAAAGCATCTCAACCCCCGTGGCTGTCCACATCGCAACCGCATCCCCTCCAAGCACCGGGGCGACACCAATATACTCTTGACTATCATCGGCGTCGTCCACACCGACGGGAGAGCACGTCAAAGGGAGGCTGGAGTGTACTATTACCTCCCGGTCATCAAGGGAGTACACGAAGAAACGACGACCCTGTTGCAAACACACAATGAGAGATGCATCCTCCTCCTCGTCCGGGTTCCAGGTGCATGTGGCAAGAATACCGTCGTCGTCGTCGTCCAAAAGTGTCATCGACTCCCCTCCAGGCTCAGTGCAGGTCAGTCTACCAGAAGCCCATTGACACACAAGACACTGCAGTGAAGCTGAAAACATCGACTTGACAACGTAGTCATTGGCACTACGACAATTAACATCGACGGCAACGACGCGTGAAGGGGGCGACAACGGAGGAAAACGTTTAAAGCAACAGGCCTCCATACTGTTATTGGTTCTGCTTCTGTTGGAACGATGCAAAACAACACATTCACCGCCAGGTCCCCGCAACAGCCAGAAAAAAGGTGCATCCTCACATCCCTCCAACGCCCATTCCAACGAGAGTGGCCTCTTTTCATAATCGTCAGTCACTGTCACTCCGTGTCGTGTCTCTTGCCATCCAAGAATAGGCACCCCAACACCACTACGTGGCACGCCCATGGAATTGTACGGATAACAAACAAGATGCGGAGACACATTCATCGGGGATGTCCCATTCAGAAGTGGGAGGCCAATGACCCCATGTTCATCAAGGATATAGGACTTTAGTCGCATATTCCATTCAGTTTCATTCATGTTCTTAAAAGTTGAGTTTGATTGGTCGAGCAACGGACTCCGTAAAGCTGGAACCTCATCATCTGTTGCCATCATTAATACCTTCTTCTCGTCATTCCTAAAGAGTTCAAAAAAATCTTCATCATCCTTTGCCGTGGCGTTGGCCTCCAAGGTACCAGCAGCATGAGGAACCTCTTGGGAGCTCGTACTCGCGGAATGCCTGGAGAAGTTTGCAGTGGGGCGGTTAGGGGCGTTATTACTTTTCTTCTCCAAAGGGGAAACCACTGGAATAAACTCACGGAAGACATGATGGGGCATGGACTCCAGCGTCACTTCAACCACCACCGTCAATGCCACACCTGCCTCATTATGCTCATTTTTCACCGCGATCGCCATGCAAAAACGGAATATCCAGTGTCCCTCTTCCAAAAAGCGTCTCTTGCAAGCCCCCGCATCCAATTGCTTCCTTTCCACCAAGTAAGTTTTCCCTTGAGGATCCTTCTCAACACATTCAAACAACATTTGCGTGACAATTTCATCAGTACAGACCTCCACACACACTTGAAGTTCCCTTCTGAAAGCAGGAGTTAATTCATCTTTTCTTTGGTACTTGAGATGACTTTCAACATGCGTGAGTTTGTCATCGAGTGACACGTCCTTCACGACAATAGCAGGAGGTGCCAAGAGAAGAAGTGTAACCTCCAACGGTGGAATAATGCCATACTGTGTGCGAGGGTGAGTGACGAGCAGGGTGTGAAATGAATTGACTTCAGCATCATCAAGGAGCACATATGGAAACGTTATTATGCAGGCAGTACTGCCATCTGTCGCGGTCTCAGCGTACGCAAGTATACTGCTGCTCTCTGTGAGCCCCCCGTTCCCTGCAATATATGTCAGAACAAATGGGACTCGTTGAATTCTCTTAAAATAATACTCGTTAAATTCCTGCCAATATCCACCGCCATTATCCTTGGCGCCGCAAGCAACAAGGCGAAATTGAAGCTCTACCCCAGTATTACGAAGAATGGGAATGGCACCCATGCCCACATGCACGCACTCCTGCGGAACACAGCCCTCATCTCCTTCCACCACACCCAGCTGTACTCGAGGCGAACACATCACCAGGTGCGCCAAGACGCCCTTTCCATGACTAACTCGTTCCGCCCCCAAAACTAATCGTTGGTGAGCCACACGGGATAAAAGCCTGGCCTGAAGAAGAAATAACTTTTTCCACCACAGCTTCCAAAAAAGATCTTCCTTTTCCATACCTGCCAAAAGCTTCTGCGCCTCAGAGGCCTCCTGAAACAAAGAAATGCGTTGCTTCTCAAACGCTAACATCGCCGCCTTGTGCGCATGAGCGGCTTCCAAGAGTTCGGCTCGCATCTTCAAAAGCGCATCAGCGGCTACAAAAACTCCACACATTGGAACAGGTGTGCACCATTCACACAAAGCGATGCGAGTGTGAGCAAAGACAGCAGGTGATGTTTCCTGTGTTCTTTTTGTGACGACGCACCGCGGCAACCATAAAGAAAGAGGGACGCAATAGAATATAAACAGAAAGAAAAAAAAAAAAGAGTCAAAAAATCCAGCCAACAAGAAGAAACCTCCAAAGGAGAAGAGGCAAATAATATATATATATATATATATCGTAATAAACCAAAAGCATGCGTAATCCATGAATACGCGCAAATATACCTCTTACCGTCCAAACATCGGCTAACCGCCTGAATCAGCACACCCCACATTCCTCTCCCCAATTGTCAGAGGGATGACATCTCCCATAAAGTGGTGAACATCCTGCCAAAACACCTTGAATACTTTGTGTCTCACCGCAGCGATGGATAAAAGGGCATTGAGAGTTGCACAACAAAAAATGCTGTGCCGCTTATAAGGTAAAAAAAAAAGGGAGAGAGAGAGGGGGATCAATCGTCATTTCCAGCCATATCGTTTCCCAAGCGACGAACCGCTTCAATGTCTTCCAGGCGCTCCTGTGCCTCTTCAGGCAATCCCTTGTTCGCCTGGAAGGGGGCGTCATTGCTACTCCGCCTACCACAATACTGTTGGTACAATTGCTGTTGTTTTTGTTGTTGAGGTTGCTGCGAGGCCGCTTCAAAGCTACGACGACAAGGCAAGCTGTTGGCACCACGAGCCTGCGGCATACGCCTCTTCAATGAGGGTTCACTGTGCACTGGCTCCCCCTTCGCCAACTGGGCGTCAAATCGATCTAACGCCTCTGATGTTGGGAGAAAATCTTTTGAGTCATCCTGCAGGTATGTTTCCTGCAACATAGGGTCCACGTCCGTTGTCACTGTTTTTCTGGCCATCCTCTTCGGAATTTGTGTAATGTATATATGTATGTCTCCTCCTCTCTCCAAGACCTTTTTCTTGTGTTTTCTTCGCCTCCTCCCTACGACCCCGTCCCTTTCCTCACGCCGTACTCTGCCGAGCCGCAACTGCACACAAACACACAAAAAAAGGGTGAGATAAAATAAAAGGCAAGCACCAGCACCACGTGAATTGCAGGGTGGGAGCCTCTCTGTGCATTCGCAGCAAGAGACGCCAAAGGACACACCGAAGAGAACACACAGCCCCCCCCCCCCC